TGCACTACTGCACTACTGCACTCTACCCTGGGTGACAGAGCAAGACTCTCTTAAGAAAAAAAAAAAAAAGATCTGTCTAGCAAAACAGCAGGTTCATGAATGAAATTTGTGTGTGACCAGATCTAAAATGTAGCAAAAGAAGCACAGGTTAAAAATCATGTTTTTACTATAAATGACAAGAAATCTTGATGTTGAAATAACTATTAATTCCCACAAACTTTTTTGAACAATTATAATGGCTACCATTTCATTTCAAACAGCCAATCTAAGGGATAAAGAAAACAGAGATCATCAGATCAGGATCCATGGCACTCCTCAGAGCTCTGCCTACCAACTATGCCACCTCCCAGGACCTTCCCCATGCTCTACTTGTCTGAAAACAGGGAGGAGGATAGCAGTTGCAGTTATTTCTCTCTTTCAGGCTCCATCTAAGGTCATAAGTATTAAAATTCTCCCTTACCTGCTTAGGAATTTCATTCTCAACTGCCTCTTGAATGACATTAAGGCTTTGAGAGAAATGTAAAATGCAAAATAAAAATATTAGGTCATTAAATATGAAATGTCCGATTTCAAATCAAAAGTTTAGTTTATTATATCTCAAACAAGAAGCAGTACAATTAATCAAAGTATGCACCTAAACTACAGACATAGTTTTGCCATTTTAATGCTAGCTTGCTTATGCAGCAGTGAAGAAGCCTGGAGAGCAAGTGGTGATAAAATTGTGAAAGGCATTTTCCAAAGCTTGTTGAGAATTGAATATTTTTCCTCACAAGAAGTGGTCCAAAGCCTGGAAGAAGTGGTAGTCAGTTTATGCAAGGTCTGGTGAATATGGTGGATGACAGAGTTTCCAAGTCCAGCCTCTGTAGTTTGAACAGCCTTGTTTTTGCAACGTGTGGTCTTGCAAGAGGATCGGCCTGTCTCTATTGACCAATCTTGGCTGCTTAACTGCAAGCATCTTCATGATTTAGTCCCTTGGTTGCAGTAGACACCTGCCATAATTGATTGACCAGGTTTCATGAAGCTGTAGTGGATGATACCAGCACTGGACCACCAAACAGACACCAGTAGCTTTTTTTAATGAATATCCCATTTTAGACTGTGTTTCAGCACTTCATCTTTATCCAACCTTTTTGCTGAATGCTTGCGATTATCAAAAAGAATCCACTTTTCATCACAGGTAACAATATGGTATAGAAATGGTTCACCTTTATGTCATGACAGCAGAGAAAGGCAAGCTTCAAGATGATTTCTCTTTTGATGCTTGTTTAATTCATGCAATACCCATCTATCCAGCTTCTTTACCTTGCCAATTTGTTTCAAATGGTCCAATATTGTTGGAACAGTAACATCAAACCTTGCTGTTAATGCACGTATAGGTTGAGATGGATTCACTTCCACTACAGCTACAGCTTTCAGCTCATCATTATCCACCTTGGTCTCAGGGAATCCACATGGCTCATTTTCAAGATTACAATCACCAGAATGAACTTCTCAAACCACTGATGATGTACTGTGCATTCATTAGCCACCTCTTTCGCAAACACTTGATTGATATTTCAGGCCGTCTATGCTGCATTGGTTCCACGACAGAACTCATATTCAAAAATAACACGAATTTTTGACTTATCCATGGTTTCACAAAAATTGCTCTAAAAAAAAATTTGAAAGACAATCACAAACCAAAACGTGCATTCGAAAGAAATGAGGATGTACCTTCACAATAAACAAAAAAACCAAGAAGTGTGAAAGTGAAATGTCAGAGATATCAACTGTCAAACTTAGTACTTAAGGAAATCGGACATTCCATACTTAATAACTTAATACATAATCTAGGTAAGAGGAAAGATTTAAGTTTTAGATACAGTCATTATCTACATTGAGATAAACAGAGAAGGCCAGAAAAACAGATAAATTCTCTGGAAAAGAGGATGTAATATAGAAAGAAAAATCCCAGTGAGTTAAGTATTTTAAGTTTTAATGAAGCTATTATATTTTAATTTTTTAAAAAACTAGTTTTTGATGAGTGGTCTTTAGGTGAAGATCTCTTAGTTAAGTTTCTCCATATTGCAATATTATAAAAATTCAGGGCTTTAAAAAAATCAATCATTGTAAGTCCAATACAGACTACTGTTTTTTTAAAAGAGACATGCACAGACACACACGGCTCAGTTCACTAATCACTCACTGATTTTGTATGATCTGGCCGTGGGGCAATAACGGGAGGAGCAGTTTCTTCATCATCATCATCTTCTTCTGTTACTACTGCTGATGTTTCTGATCCCTTGGCATTCAGCTGCATTTATCACACGAGCAAAGTAAGGAAGACAAGTCAAATAAAATAGGTTAAAATCTGACTCTCTCTTTTTCTGACATACTTGAAAAAGTTAATTTCTTTAATAGCTCATTTCAAAACCATTAAACCCCACTTGTTCTAGTATAACCATTTAAAAAGTAAAGGTGATTGTATGAATTATGAGAAAGTTTATGAAATAAATGTACATGTGAATATCAAATATTCTTCAGAGAATACTTATTTATATGCTTTAGATTGTTACACATATGCAATGCCCTAAAAGTAAATAATTTATTTGTTAAGACCAAAAACAAAGATCCTCTGGGCTTTGTACATGTCAGAGTCATTTTGGGACATTTAAAATAACCAGATTCACCAGAATAAGCTATGGCAAATGAAGCAAAAGGAGATGGAATTAACCCTTACACAGAGCTTTTTATATGACAGGTGTATGATAGGTAGGTATTTTACATGTTATCTCATTTGGTCCTCATACAGCTCCAGGAGACTGTTTCCCCCGAGTTGAGGAAATGAAAATAAAACAGTGACTGTTTGCAGGAGGTAAGTGTGTTCACACAAAAACTTAGTTAAAGTTTCAGATGACTCTGAAGAATCTGACAAGTTTCAATTGTTCAGTATGTTTCCTTGGTCTATACTCAGTAGAACAGTCCAGAAGGAGAATTTGGAGTAAGGGAGAAATATGCTAGCAAGTTATTTGTATTCATGTTTGTATATGTAAACATTATCAAAAGTAGCTAACCTGCTCTGAAGGTCATTATAAATTTTAATTACTTTAAGTATCATATTAAGGAATTTCTACTTACTTAATATATCTTCTTCAACTAATCAAGTGGCTAGCTAAAAACACATGTATCAAGTAGTTATTTATCTCCGGTACCTGAATTAATTTTAAAAAGCAAAATAAAAACTGAGATCTGTTCTGGGTAACCTAAATTAGAACAAGAGCTACAAGAAATGACATAATTAACTTACTGCTGGTGTTCCAGAAGGGAAGCCATCTTTCTCTGAATATGAAACAAAAAAAATAATGTTAACAATTTGAGAAATAAAACTTTCCTATGATAAAAGAAAAAACAAGCAGAGCAAGTGAAATGTTCTTAAACTAATTTCATTTTAAGTTGAATTAACTCTCAATAAAAATGACAGGCTGGGCGTGGTGGCTCACGCCTGTATTCCTAGCACTCTGGGAGGCTGAGGCAGGCGGATTGTTTGAGCTCAGCAGTTCAAGACCAGCCTGAGCAAGAGCAAGACCCCGTCTCTACTTAAAAAATAGAAAGAAATTATCTGGACAACTAAAAATACATAGAAAAAATTAGCGGGGCATGCTGGCGCATGCCTGTAGTCCCAGCTATTCAGGAGGCTGAGGCAGTAGGATC